ATATATATATATATATATATATATATATATATATATATATATATATATATATATATAACTCAATCTCTTACAATTGATAATACTTTATTATTTATAAAGATCTATATTTTTAAATATATATATTCGCAAGGGAATTAATTCGCCGAAACTGCTTCGTAAGAAGCTGCAAAAGAAATGAGAAAAATATTTTTGGCATGGTAGACTGAGCCGGGGATTGAATTCAAAATTTTCCGCTTGCCCGGCTACCGTTCTACCAATAGGACTAACCAGATATCCATGCTTTGGCATACTCACAGAAAAATTATTTTAAAATCAACAAATATTTTTTTGATGGGTGCCATTAACATATTTTTTAAAATCTACATTCTCTTTATTTAAATCAAATATTGTTCACCTGATTTAGATAAACAATATTTGGTCTATCAAGGAAATATTTGTTAATTTTAATATAATTTTTCTCTCAGTGTATATCTTCTACACTCTCTTCTTGAGGAGATACTTTACATGTAAACTTTAACGACGAAGTACTGATCCTTTTCTGCGACATGTACGTTGTATTGATTAAAAATTACAAATATTTTTATGTAATAATGATTTATTTCGAATATTTTCGCAATTGTAAAGATAAAAAAAATGTCACACAAAAGTATTGAAGATACTTTACAAAAGTATGATCTTGTAAAGTGTGATCTTTCTAGACGATTTCAGAAACATTGAAGTTTTAAAAATGTACCACTCATTTTTAATATTGTTTTTAAAAATGTCTTATATCAATGACAACAATGTGAATCTAAGAAAATAAGAATACAAGACAAACAGAAACGATTAAATCCAGATTCGTTATCGTTATTGATAACGAAAAATGGAAAAACTGCTAATAGACATATTGTTGTGAAGGAACAACTTGAATGAAGATATACATAGATACATTTCATAATTTTTATATATTTTAATATGTATTATACATAAAATTACAGATTGTTCTCTAGTTCTATTATAAAGTCTGTTTTTACAGATATTAGTTCAATGTTTTTTCTCTCATTAAAATCAGAATATGCCAGTTAAAAATAAAATAATTTATTTAATATAATAGCAAAGTAAATTTTTTAATCTCTTTTTATATTTTGTATAATATTCTCGATATATCGTGTACGAAGTATTGAACGAATATAAATTTTGTATTAATATTCTCCATCGTCAGTGAATAAAATTAAGCAACATTGGCCCATAATTAACGGCCGACGGAGAAACTGTGGAGACCACTCGCGCAGACCTCGTAACTGCTAATCAAGATACAAATTTTATATATGGCATTCTGACCTTACGCTACTAGACTAGTAAAACTAGCCACGTTAATAGTTTGGTTATTAAAAAACAAAGTATATAATTAACAAGAATATGGCGGATATTAACATATAGAAAGAAGTCATCTCTGTCATGTTCGTACAATTACTACCACAAATACTACCACAACAATTATTTATCTGAGAACCATGAAATTTAAAAAAATGAAATTTTAGTTTCGATTTCATTTACATTGTTGAAAAGAAAGGGGACATAAAAAAATTTAAGGAAATAAAGAATGTCATAAGACAGAAATTCAACAACAGCTCCTTAAAGTAGATATTTTACCACAAAATTAAAAAGGAAAAATGTTTATAAGATGATTGTCATTGAGTAATGATTATAAAAATTTCAAATGTTTTTGCTTATAATTTTTCGATGCTATATTTCTCTAGAGGAAAATGTATTTATATTTGGGATGGATTTTATTTCGCAATAAATTCCAATGTTACCTAAAACACTTATATATGAATCTGACTAATCAACAAAAATTTCTCAGTCAGGTTCTATGCGCCGTTAAGATTGTTAACTGTGATGGTGCGATGAGGTTTTTTCCTCGGCATCGCCTTCAGCCAAAAACCTCCTTTGGCTTTCATAAGGAAACCAGTCTTGGCTAACTCGAGCGGTATTCCCGTCTTCTCGCAAGGTAGCAGGTCGCAACGTGCCAGCAGGTGGAAAAATAACACTTTTGTTTCTAGCAGGGTGAATCGGTTACCTATACACATCCTGGGGCCTAAGCCAAATGGCAAATAAGCTCCAGTGTTGTGAATATGTTTTTTCTGTTCGCCAAGAAACCTTTCGGGATTGAATTTTTCGGGTTCCTCGAAGTACTTTGGATCATGGTGGAGTCCGTAAACCGATATCCAAATAACTTGACCTTTCTTCACGGTGTAGGGCTTCACGCCTGGTAACGTCGGCGGTAACTCAAAATCCTTCTTGCATACTCTTTCCAACGCTACGGCGACCGGGTACTTTCTGAGAGTCTCATTCACCACAGCGTCCATGTATTCCATGTTGTTGATTATGTCATACGGCGATTCACCATTCGTGTCCTCGAGAACCTGGTCGATCTCGTTCTGCAGTCTCTTTTGAATATCTTTGTTAACCGCAATTTCATGCGCGACAAAACACATCAACGTCGACGTACTTTCAAAGCCACCTAAGAAGAAGCTGAAGGCCTGGCCAGTCATGTCGCTGATAGTTAGATCTTTCCTACCTTCTTTCTTCCCTCTACTTTCCATCATCAACTGCAATATGTCCGGCCGAACGATACCCTGTTCTTCCCTTGTCTTGATGGTGGTTTCCACGAGGTTCTGGAAAAATTCCGCGATCTCCGTGCGAATCAACCTTAGTTTGATTATTTTCACCAGCCACGGCAGGCTCCTGAATATGTAAAACTTCAGGAAAGTGGCGAAACTGTCGAAAGTAGTAGCCTTTTTGCCGTACACATAGAAGATATTTTTCGGGTTACGCATGGAATCGACGCTGATTCCAAAGGCACAGGTGGCAATCACATCGTTGGTGTACTTCGTGAAAATATCCTTCATCTCCATCACCCTCTGGTCCGGCGGCAATTCCTCCACAAATTTGCCGAAGTTGGTGGCACAGTCCGACATTAGCTTGAACATACCTTTCATTTTGCTGGACGTGAAGGCCGGACTCATCACAGCTCGTGTCTCTCGCCACCTATCATCTTGCAGGGAGAACAGATTGTTGGAAAACAATGGATCTTGATCCTCCGCGACCAGGCTGCGATGATTGGGAAACATTTCGAAGTTCTTCAGCGCAATGGATTTAATGAGTTCAGGGTCACGCGGCATCAGTAGCGGCTTGGTAAATTCATACATTCCGGTATATTTGGCCTCGGGATGCACGTCGTACAGGTCTTTCATGAGCGCAGCCGCAGTTTGTGTTCGAAAAATCATTGGTCCCAAGTTGCCTACCAAAGGCAATGGTCTAATATGCGGGATGTTATGTTTCTTGAAGTAGTTCAGATCCTTGAAGAGGAAGTAATAAACGCCCAAAGCGCCGGCTATCACCGACAAGATGATCACGTACACCATGTTCATCTAATTTTTACACTAATCTAGATACAGCACCTTTATCAGTACGTAAAATTGTCGAGACGATCGGAATTGTGGAGCAGTGGATGGTTACGCAACAAACTTATTTAATCAAGTATAATTATGCTCGAGGAGAAAATAAAACAAAAGAGCGGAGCAACGGCGCGCCGTTAACACTCAACGGTCGACTGCTACTATTCTGTGCAACCGTCGTCGTACATACGTTATATATGATGAGTCACGACTTACACAATGACGTGATACAGTCGGATATCTGAGATACTGTTAGTGCGAAAGTCAATTAGCCAAGTTGATGAAAAGCGCAATTGTAATCGTTTATGCAAACTTTGCATTATTATTATCATTATCCTGTTTGCTTAATAGTACTCATCTGGTAAATGAATTTTAACTGAATTTTAAATGAATTTTAACAACACGGGTCAATCAAAATATTTTTGTCATGTCACTCTAATCAGAGTTGGTACTTCGTATAAATTTTCATTCGCGAAAAACAATGTTGCTGACTAAATAGTTGCGTTACGTCAAATTTAGAAATTGATTTAAATTTTAATTGTAATAAAAAATCAGCGATTTAGAAAAAGGAAGACAAATATTGAATCGTTTATTATAAATGAAGTAATAAAAATAGGTGAATATTTGATATATACCTTGATTCTTTATCTTAACAAAAAAAAAAGGAATTGTCTCAATAGCAAGAAAATAGCAAGAAAATGTTTTTTAATGATGAAATATGTAGAAAAGTATACATAAACACTATTTTTCATGTTTTATACGAAATCAATGAGAATGAATAGTCGCATTAAAATGTTATGGTTCTCATTTTTTTCGTAAGAAAATCTTATTGAAATTTTACCTAAACTTTGTATAAAATAGTACAATCTTAAAATGGCTGATAAAATTAATTTGTTAAAATAAAAGATATTTTATTTAATTTTGATAAGAAACCTGGCGTGAATGAATTGTCGAAATTTAAATGTGATATATCTTAAAAAGAGCTGAGAAAAGAATTTTTATTTTCATACTAAAATTTAGCAACTTACTTGTATATATATAGAGATTTCCCTCATTAGTTATAACACGTCCAGATAAATCGTTGATAACAAGGACACATTCGAAAACTCATTCATCGAACACTCGCAGTGTTTTCGAACAAGAATAGAACTCAATTTTCATTTAGTTTCTTCGCATGTCGCTTCTCTTTATTAGAGTTCGTCATCGATTCCAATATCCGCTCAAGGTATACTGAAGTGGATGATGAACTCGAAAAATATCGATAACGTAAAGGCGATCGTCACTAAAACGATCTAACTTTTCGTATTTCACTTCCTTTTTGTATTTCTTGTACATGTAGATAGATGTGTATATATACTTTGTTTCATCATATTTTAACCAGGAAACCTAATTGCACGAACATACATATACACATATACACATATTAGAAATCTTTCTGCAAATTTTTCCGATTTTATGAAACTTCTAAATTCAGATATAAAGATATAGCAATGTATTTTTAAATTTTTCTAAACGATGCAAACTTGCATTGAATATATACAAATTATAAATTTTGTATCGAGCAAATATTTATGGCAATTAACAGCTCGTGATGTCAATTTATAAATGTTTCATTATTTTCCTCAAATATTTATCAATACTTCAAGAATATATTTTAATATGTATTTTTAAAGTATAAAAGTATTTTTAATTTTTTACATTCAGTAAACTTTGCAAAAAAGTAAGTGTTTTGGCATCCTTTTAATACAAACACAATATCATATAAGCACTAATATTATCTAGATCAAGAAATACACGATCTTCAAACTTACACATATTCGCAACAGCTGTATCTAAAATCATTGTAGTCCTACCGTTATAACATTAGTTACTTTTATATGAGATTTTTACCTTTATGCGTTGTATGTTGGACTATATATTCTATAATTTTTAGTCTAGGAAATGGTAAGGCATACATGACACTGACTGTATATATGCAATTACCAAAATATAACCAAGAATAAATAATATCCAAGAATAAATATAATCAAGAATAAAGAATATATAATAACCAAGAAGAAATATAATAACCAAGAAGTATAATTATACGTAAATAATCGTAAATATATCGTAAATAATCGCTTATTGCTATTTTATATATTATTCCAAACCAAATTATAAATACCAAATTATAAACACTACCAAATTATAATATATTTTTCTTAATATATTTTTCTTCAGCCTTGAATAGTCGATAGATAAGTTTTATCATCTTCTTAACATTGCTTTCACGACTTATTTGATATTTCTGTAACACACAAAATTGGAGTAATTAACATAATTTATGTATAAAATATGTTTCTTTTCTCTCAAAGTCCAATCAATTTTCTTGATCAACAGATTTTTTAAGAAATTGTAAGATTAATGAATAAGGGGAACCATTAATAATTTATGTTTAATACAAATTTCATTTCATGTAAATTTATATATTTTCCATATCTTATAAATTCAAAATGTTAAGACTTGAAATTCACCAAAAAAGTACTTCTATGGATCCTGTATGTCGTTTGCGTTGTTAGTAGCAACGGTGCGGTGCGGATTCTTCCTCGGTATCGCTTTTAGCCAGAAGCCGCCTTCGGGTTTCATATTAAACATATCTTTGTTTAATTTCAACGGTATTGGTGTCTTCTCGCAAGGTAGCAGGTCGCAACGTGCCAGCAGGTGGAAAAGTAACACCTTCGTTTCTAATAAAGCGAATCGGTTACCTATGCACATTCTGGGACCCAAGCCGAACGGCAAATAGGCTCCCGTGTTGAGGATATGTTTCTTTTGCTCGCCGAGAAATCGTTCGGGATAGAACTTCTCCGGGTTCTCGAAGTATTTTGGATCATGCTGGAGTGCGTGAATCGGTATCCACACGATATCGCCTTTCTTCACAGTATAGGGCTTCGCGCCCGGTAACGTCGGCGGCAACTCGAAATCCTCTGTGCATGCTCTGTCCAGTAGCATAATCACGGGATACATTCTAAGAGCCTCATTCAATACTGCGTCCAAGTATTCCATGCTATTGATCGCCTCATACGGCGCTTGTCCCTTTGTGTCTTCCAGAACTTGATCGATCTCGTTTTGCAGTCTCTTTCGAACATCCTCATTCACCGCGATCTCGTGCGCGGCAAAGCACATCAACGTCGAGGTGGTGTCGAAGCCGCCGAAAAAGAAAATGAAAGCTTGGCAGGTCATGTCCTCGATCGTCATTACCTCTCTACCATCTTTTTTTCTACCTTCCATCATCAGCTGTAACATGTCCGGCCGAACAATGCCCTTCTCGTCCCTGGTCTTGATAGTGGACTCCACAAGGTCTTGAAAAAAGTTCACGATCTTCTCATGAATGATCTTGACATTGAATATACGTGCCAACCACGGCAAGCCCCTAATTAAGCATATTTTTAAGAAGGAGAAACTGTTGAAAGTAGTCGCCTTTCTGCCGTATACGTAGAAGAGATTCTTCGGGTCTCGCATCGAGTCGACGGTGACGCCGAAGGCGCAAGTGCCGATTACGTCATTGGTGTACCGTGTGAAGATGTCCTTCGTTTCTATTACTCTCTTCTCCGGCGGCAATTGCGCCACAAAATTACTGAAATTGGCGGCATAATCCGACATTAACTTGAACATGCTCTTCATTTTACTGGACGTGAAGGCCGGACTCAGCATAGTTCGCACCTCCCGCCATCTGTCGCCGCAAAGGGAGAAGAGGTTCTTGACAAATAACGGCTCTTGTTCCTGCGTGATAAAGTTTCGATGGTTCATGAACATATCGAAGTGCTTGAGTGCGACGGACTTGATAAGCTCGGTATCACGCAGCATTATCAGCGGCGTTCGAAAATCATATAGACCAGCGTACTTAGCCTCGGGATGTATATCATAAATCTGCTTCAGTAAGTTAGCCGTGGGTATTATACGGAAGAGGGCCGGTGCCATGTTGCCAATCAACGGCAGTGGCTTTCGATGTGGTATGTCATATTTCTTGAATCGATCTACGTCCTTGAAAAGAAAATAATAGAGCCCCACCACGCCGGCTATTACCGACAAAATAATCACATACACCATATCGATAAGATTTTTTCACTAAACTGATTTCTAATTGGTATGCCGCACTATGCAATTAGTATGCCGCACTATGCAATTGGAATATACTCGCGCCTAAATCTGTTAGTTCGAACGATATTAGAATCTCTCCGGTGTATTAGCGGCGAATTTACATAATTAAGTGTTGTCGTTTCACGTGTTGATTAATTGCGAGGAAAGAATCAAGTGGGATGTCTGAGTACGTGCGCGTCGTTCACACTTCCACGGCGGACTGTAACCGTTTAGCTCGATCTTTCTCATTTATAATACTGAAACCGTCATTGCTTACGCAACAGAGAGCTACAATCATACATCTTGTAGCGAAGATTAAGTGGCACATCTCTAATGATATTGGGGCAAATGTCAGTTACACAATTTAACGAGATACACAATTACATTTAATTATTACATGTTTCGTATTTTCAATATCTTATATATTTACTTCGTGACATATGCGGAGTGTAGTGAATGTTAATGATTGACGAAATAATAATCTATCCTGAAGAATCTAGACGTAAACATGAAATGAAATCTATTGGCCCGATACCCCTATTATGAAGAATCGCGAGGGAGAGGAGGGAAAGGAAGAATTTATAATTCTTGATTTATTACCTCGATTCCATTTAAAGTTTTTACTAAGTATTGATAACATTTAATAGATGTGCAATGTATGCATATCGTATATACGTTTCAAAGAAAATTTAATACTTCTTGTGTATGTCGCGCTATTTAGACATTTATTAAAAAATTATTACTATACCAATATTAGTGTTAGATTATGACTTTTGCTTATAAAGGCGATAAACTTCTTATTCAATCCTCCGCTGTAGCTGTTATTAATTTAATCCGTAATAGATATTGCCTTACAATACAAAAATTTAAAAAAATTAATTCATTCGAACGTTGTATTGATTAAGAATTACAAATGCTTTTATATAATGAAGATACGTTTCGAATATTTTCACAATTAATAAAGGTAAGAAAAAATGTTTCATACATACACAGATACGTCTTATAATTTTTATATATTTTAATATGTATTATACATAAAATTATAGATTATTCTCTAATTCTATTATAAAATCCGTATTTACAGATGCTAAGTCAATGTTTTTTCTCTCATTAAAAATGGAATATTTCAGTTTAAAAATAAAAGAGTTATTTAATGTAATAACAAAATAAATTTTCTGATCTCTTTTTATATTTTGTATAATGTTCTCGACATATGATATACGCATCATTGAACGAGTATAAATTTTGTATTAATATTCTCCATCGTAAGTGAATAAAATTAAACAACATTGGCCCATAAATAAGGGTCGACGGGAAAACTGTGGAGTCCACTCGCGCACACCTCATAACTGCTAATCAAGATATAAATTTTATATATGGCTTTCTGACTCTGCACTACTAGACTAGTGAAACCGGCCACGTTGCTGCATGTTTGTATTTTGGTTATTAAAAAACAAAATATATGGTTAACAACATCGTAGCATATATTAACAGAAAAAAGTCATATTTTTCATATTTTGTCACATTTGTATAATCAATCACAACAATTACTTTTCTGAGAAGTTGCAACCTTAAAATTAAAAAAAATAAGATTTTAGTTTCGATTTCACTTATTGCTGAAAAGAAAGGTGACATAAAAAAATTAAGTAAACACAGAACGTCGTAAGACAGAAATCCAACAACAGCTCTTTAAAAAGTAGCCATTGTACTATAAAATTAAAAAGAAAAAGATATTCATATGATGATTTTTTATGCAGTAATAATTATTAAAATTTCAAATATTTTCCTTTATAATTTTTTGATGCCATATTTCTTTTGAGGAAAGTACATTAATATTTCGGATATATTTTATTTCGCAATAAATTCGTGTTACCCATATTATTTACATATGAATCTGACCAATCAACAAATATTCCTCTATAAGATCTACGCGCCGTTAATATTGTTAACTGTGACGGTGCGATGAGGTTCTTTCCTCGGTATCACTTTCAACCAAAAATCTCCCTTAGCTTTCAATACGAAACCAGCCTTGGCTAACTCGAGCGGTAACCGCGTCTTCTCGCAAGGTAGCAGGTCGCAACGTGCCAGCAGGTGAAAGAGTAACACTTTTGATTCTAACAGAGCGAATCGGTTACCTATGCACATCCTGGGGCCTAAGCCGAATGGCAAATAAGCTCCGGTGTTGTGAATATGTTTTTTCTGTTCGCCAAGAAACCTTTCGGGATTGAATTTTTCGGGTTCCTCGAAGTACTTTGGATCATGGTGGAGTCCGTAAATCGGTATCCAAATGACTTGACCTTTCTTCAAGGTGTAGGGCTTCACGCCTGGTAACGTTGGCGGCAACTCAAAGTCCTTTTTGCATGCTCTATCCATCACTACGGCGACCGGGTACATCCTGAGGGTCTCATTTACCACAACGTCCATGTATTCCATGTTGTTGACTATATCATACGGCGACTCACCATTCGTGTCCTCCAGGACCTGGTCGATCTCGTCTTGCAGTCTCTTTTGAATATCCTTGTTAATCGCTATTTCATGCGCGGCAAAGCACATCAATGTCGAGCTACTATCAAAGCCGCCGAGGAAGAAAATAAAAGCCTGGTTAATCATTTCGTTAATTGTTAGATCTTCTCTACCTTCCTTCTTTCCTTTACTTTCCATCATCAACTGCAACATATCCGGCCGAACGATACCTTGTTCTTCCCTAGTCTTGATGGTGGTTTCCACGAGTTCCCGGAAGAATTCCGCGATCAATTCGCGAATTAACCTCAGTTTGAATACTTTCGCCAGCCACGGCAGGTTCCTGAATATGTAAAACTTTATGAAAGTGGCGAAACTCTCGAAATTAGTAGCCTCTTTGCCGTACACGTAGAAGAGATTCTTCGGGTTACGCATAGAATCAACGCTGACGCCGAAGGCACATGTGGCAATCACATCGTTGGTATACTTTGTGAAAATATCCTTCATCTTCATCATCCTCTGCTCCGGTACGAATTCCGCTACGAATTTGCCGAAGTTGGCGGCGCAATCCGACATCAACTTGAACATACCTTTCATCTTGCTGGATGTGAAGGCCGGGCTCAATACTGTTCGTACCTCTCGCCACCTGTCATCTTGCAGGAAAAACAGATTATTGGAAAACAATAGATCTTGATCCTCCGTGACGAATCTGACATGATTCGGAAATATTTCGAAGTTCTTCAGCGCAATGGATTTAATGAGCTCAGGGTCACGTACTACAAGTATCGACTTGGTAAATTCGTACATGCCAGTGTACTTGGCCTTGGGATGCACGTCGTATATGTTCTTTATGAGCTCAGCCATAGATTGCTTGCGAAAAACCAGCGGTCCCATGTTGCCTATCAAAGGCAGTGGCCTAATATGCGGGATGTTATGTTTCTTGAAGAAGTTCAGGTCCTTGAAGAGGAAGTAATAAAGGCCCAAAGCGCCGGCTATCACCGACAAAATGATCACATACACCATGTTTATCAAATTTTCGCACTAATCTAGCACCTTGATCAGAGCGTAAAATTATCGATACGAACGGAATTGTAGAGTCGAGGATGTTTCCTTGATAAATTTACTTAATCAAATATTTTGATTTTATCTACTGATTATACTCGAAAAGTGAATAAAGCGAAGGAGTGAGGCAACGGTGCGCCGTTGACACTCAACAAGCGACTGCTAGTATTCTGCACAATCTGCGTCTTATATAGGTCGTATGTAATAACGTCACAACTTACGCAATTGAGAGCTACCCTCGGACATGTGAGATACTATTAGTAGGGGAATCAATTACGCATTTTAATGAAAAACACAATTGCAATCGTCTTTGCATTATTATTATCTTGTTTGTTTGAGAGCATACATGTGATTGAGTGAATCCCCAAAACACAGGTTAAACATAAAATGTGTACTTAACCTAATTTTACTCTAATCAGAACAGATATTTCATATAGATCTCTGCTCATAAAAAACAGTGTTGCTGGCCAAATAGATTCATCACGTCAGTTTTTAGAGTTGATTAACCTTTTAAGATAAAAATGGGCAATTTAAAGAAAAAGGACAAATAAATCGTTTATCGTCAATAAAATAATGAAAAATGATAAATATTTAATAAACACGTTGATTTTTTGTTAACAAACGAAGAAGAATTGTCTTACAAATAGTAAAAAATTTGTTTGTTAAAGATACAGTATATAAGAAAATATATATAGGTACTTTTTTTATGTTTGGCGAAATCAGTAAAAACAAATAGTTAGATCATAATATTATTATAATTATAATATTATTATTATTATAATGTTACTTAGTAACAGTATGTTGTTATTAAAGTAGAGTCACGAGGAAGTATAGTTATATATAATGATTAGCATCACTGAGTTATATTTTGAGAAAAAGGATATTTAATCAGCGGATACTAATGAGATATTTATTTGAACTATATATTTAATAAAAAATGTATTTTTACATAAAAGATTTACATTTTCTTGAAATTTTAGCAGCAATGGTTTATATTCTACATAAATAAAAGAATTTAAGTTTAAGTAAAAATATTAGTAGTGCTCACACATCGTGTATTCATTAAATATTTTTTAATATTTATTAGAAACTAGTAGATACTATTAGAAACAAATGCTTATCAGTCATACGTTCCTGAGTTTGGAGTGGCTCATAGATTGCTTGCTGAGCGATGAATTAAGAGGAATAGCGCTAAACGGAACAAGTCGAAAATTGATCGGAATGTACAACATGTCGAGCGCTGACTTAATATATGAAATATTATAATATTGACCTGAGATATAACGTCATAGCTCCTAATGGTCAGCAATTAATAGATAGCAATTAATAGATAGATAATTGAATTAAGAAGAATCTTTCTTTTGGATTTATTATTATTCATTATTATATATTTATTGTATGGTTTTTTATTTTTTATTAATTATTAAAGTTTTCCATGTCCATAGCATGTATGTATGTGTGTGTATATATATATATGTGTGTGTGTATGTATATGTGTGCACGATAAATAAATCCACAAGATTTTGCAAAGTAACATAAATTCTTCTACAAGTTGCGTGTACCGTTCGCGTTATTTACTCTGACGGTGCATTATAGTTCCTCCTCGGCACTACTTTCAGCCAGAAACCACCTTCAGGTTTCATAGTGAAGCCATCCCTGGCTAATTTCAGCGGCATTGGTGTCTTCTTGCAAGGCAGCAGGTCGCAACGCGCCAACAGATGGAAGAGTAATACCTTCGTTTCCATTAAGGCAAATCGGTTACCTATGCACATCCTTGGACCCAAGCCAAAAGGCAGATAAGCTCCTGTATTGAGAATATGTTTCTTCCGCTCGCCAAGAAATCTTCCAGGATCAAACTTCTCCGGCTGCTTGAAATATTTGGTATCATAATGGAGTCCGTAAATCGGTATCCACAAGATTTGACCTTTCTTCACGGTGTAGGATTTCGCGCCCGGTAATGTCGGCGGCAATTTGAAATCCTCTATACACATTCTGTCCGTTATCACGGCCACAGGATACATTCTAAGAGCCTCATTCAATACTGCATCCAAGTATTCCATACCGTTGATTGCCTCATATGGCGCTTGCCCGTTTGTATCTTCCAGGACCTGGTCGATCTCGTTTTGCAGTTTCTTTCGAACATCCTCATTCACCGCGATCTCGTGCGCGGCAAAGCACATCAACGTCGAGGTGCTTTCGAAACCGCCAAAGAAGAAACTGAAGGCCTGACTGGTCATGTCTTCGACTGTCAGTTCCCTCTTATTTCTTTCTTACTTCTTTCTTATTTCTACTTTCCATCATTAGCTGCAACATGTCCGGCCGAACGATATTCTTTTCGTCCTTAGTTCTGATGGTAGTCTCCACAAGATCCAGGAAAAATTTTGTGATTTCCTCGCGAATAATCTTGAGATTGAACACGCGTGCCAGCCACGGCAGGGACCTGAATGCATATACTTTGAAGAAAAAGGTCCCGCCGAAACTAGTTGCCTCTCTGCCATATACGTAGAAAAGATTTTTCGGGTTTCGCATAGAATCTACGGTGACGCCGAAGGCGCAAGTAGCGATCATATCATTGGTGTACCGTGTGAAGCTGTCCTTCGTTTCTATCACCCTCTGCTCCGCCGGCAGTTGCGCCATGAATTGGGCGAATTTGGCGGCATAGTCCGACATCAATTTGAACATGCTCTTCATCTTGCTGGACGTGAAGGCCGGACTCAGCATAGTTCGTACCTCCCGCCACATGTCGCCGCGAAGGGAAAAGAGATTCTTACCGAACAACGGCTCTTATTCCTCTGTGACAAAGCTGCGATGATGCGGGAACACGTCAAAGTGTTTGAGTGCGATTGACTTGATGAGTTCGGTGTCGCGCAGCATTATTATTGGAGTGGTCATTTCGTACACACCGATGTACTTCGCCTCGGGGTCAATGTCGTACATCTTCTTCACGAGTTCTGCTAGAGATGTCATACGCAATAACGTCGATATCATGTTACCTATCAGCGGGACTGGCTGTAGATGTGGTATGCCATGCTTCTTGAACTGATTCAGATTCTTAAAGTAGTAGTAGAGACCCAGCGCGCCGGCTATCATCGACAAGACAATTACGTGTACCATGTCGTTGAAATTTTTCCTTACTGAACTGAGTACAATGCGTGCAGCTGTCGATTCCAGCCAAATTATAATTTGTCCGATTGCCTGAAAAAAAGTCAATGAGAGCTAATCCAAGTTATAAATCTCTCCGATGTTTACGCAGTGAACTTACTTAATTGAATGTTGTTTCGTGCATTGATTAAACATTAAAAAAAGAATCAAACGGAACTCTATGTCCGCCGTTGACACTCGGCGGCCGACTACTATCAATTTGCGTCATCCTCTTCGTATATACGCCTCGTCAATACGCTTTGTTTAATCAGTGCCGACGTAACAGAAAGTTGCACAATATCTCGTATCGAAGAAAATATGGCTTATCTCTAGTATTATTGGCGCCAAAATCAATTCAACAAGTTAACGAGACACTGAATTCAAATACGTAAAATTTACAATATTATTATTTTATTAGCTCTATAATATATACAAAGTTTAAAGAATATTAATGTACTCAACGAAGTGATGATATCTTATAGAAAAACAAAATGGAAATATGATAAACGAAAAAAAGATAAAATTTATTCACACACATCTCTGGTTATGCAGGATCAATATCTGGATTTATTATTTCAGTTTTATCTATATTTTATCCAAATCTCTCTCTCTCTCTTTCTCTTTCCTTATGTTCTTCTCTTTCCCACTCTTTCTCTTCCTTTCTCTCTTTCTCCCTTGCTGACATTTAATGATTTTGCGATATACATATACACATTATAGTTTCATTTCTATGGAAATTACATGGGTACCTTTTTGATGCTTTCTTCATAGTTATAAGAGAAATATTGCTGAATTATTGTCACAATTTGTACACGACAATAAGCTTTTAATGTTATTTTTAAAAAAGTAATACTAATTTAAATCACCAATTTACATGACATAAATATCGTTTCCTACTCCTATAAAAAAAGTCGTTTCATATCTTGTTTTCCTAACCTATCTCTAATCACATACTAATTTTTTGTGGTCATTATACGTAATATGAAAGTCAACAATTTAATGCATGAAGGATGACAATGTTATCTTGTAATATGAACTTATACTTCCTACTAAATGGCACATTTGATTAAGAAGAATTTTCCGTTTGTACTGATTATTATCTATTGTTATATATTCAATATAGTTTTTTCTTATTATAATTTTTTATTAACGTTTTTCAAATTTATAGTATATAAATCCTTCCTCAAGATTTACACAATCAACAAAAACTCTACTACAGGTTACTTGTACTGTTTATATTGTCAATTACAACAGTGTGATACGGGTTCTTCCTCGGCACGGCTTTCAGCCAGAAACCACCCTCAGGATTTATATTAAAATCTCCCTTAACGAATTTGAGCGGTACCGGTGTCTTCTCGCAAAGTAGCAGATCGCAACGCGCCAGCAGATGGAAAAGTAACACCTTCGTCTCCAATAAAGCGAATCGGTTACCGATGCACATTCTGGGACCCAAGCCGAAAGGTAAATAAGCTCCCGTGTTGAGAATGTGTTTCTTTTGCTCGCCGAGAAACCGTTCGGGATCAAACTTCTCCGGGTCCTCGAAGTATTTTGGATCATGATGGAGTGCGTAAATCGGTATCCACAAGTCATCGCCTTTCTTCATAGTATAGGGCTTCACGCCCGGTAACGTCGGCGACAACTCGAAATCCTCTGTGCATGCTCTGTTCGTTAGTGTAGCAACGGGATACATTCTAAGAGCTTCATTCAATACTGCGTCCAAGTATTCCATACCGTTGATCGCCTCATATGGCGCTTGCCCGTTTGTGTCTTCCAGGACCTGATCGATTTCGTTTTGTAGTTTCTTTCGAATATCCTCGTTCACCCCGATCTCGTGCGCGGCAAAACACATCAACGTCGCGGTGCTTTCGAAGCCGCCAAAGAAGAAACTGAAGGCCTGACTGGTCATATCCTCGATCGTCAGTTCCCCTTTACCTTCCTTTTTGTTTCTAGTTTCCATCATCAACTGCAACATATCCGGCCGAACGATATTGTTCTCGTCTCTGGTCTTGATGGTGGACTCCACAAGATCTTGAAAAAAGTTTACGATTTTCTCACGAATGAGCTTCAACTTGATTATACGTGCCAACCACGGCAAGCTCCTGAATATGTAAACTTTCAAAACGGAGGCACTATCGAAAGTAGTTGCCTCTCTGCCGTATACGTAGAAGAGATTCTTCGGATCTCGCATGGAATCTACGGTGACGCCGAAAGCGCAAGTAGCGATCATATCGTTGGTGTACCGTGTGAAGATGTCCTTAGTTTCTATCACTTTCTGTTCCGGCGGCAATTGCGTCACAAAATTAGCAAAGTTGGCGGCATAATCCGACATCAGTTTGAACATGCTCTTCATTTTACTGGACGTGAAGGCCGGACTCAGCATGGACCGCGTCTGTCGCCACTTGTCGCCGCGAAGGGAGAAGAGGTCCCTGCTAAACAACGTATCTTGTTCCTCTGTAACGAAGGTAGGATGGTCTTGAAACATGTCGGCGTTCTTGACGGCGATGGACTTGATGAGCTCGGTGTCGCGCAACATTATCAGCGGCGTTTTAAAGTCATATAATCCGACATACTTCGCCTCGGGATGTACATTATAAATCTGCTGCAGAAACTTAGATATAGGTACCATACGGAAGATCGACGGTGCCATGTTGCCTATGAACGGCAGTGGCTTCAGATGTGGTATGTCATATTTCTTGAATCGATCCAGATCCTTGAAGAGAAAATAATAGAGCCCCACAGCGCCGGCTATCACTGACAAAATAATCACGTACACCATATCGATAAGATTTTTTTCACTAAACTCGATTCTAATTGGTACTTGTGCCTCAAAACTGTCGATTCAAACGATATTAGAATCTCTCCGGTGTATTAGCGGCGAATTTACATAATTGAGTGTTGTCGTTCCACGTGCTGATTAATTGCGAGGAAAGAATCAAGTGGGATGTCTGAGTACGTGCGCGTCGTTCACACTTCCACGGCGGACTGCAACCGTTTAGCTCGATCATTCTCATTTATAGTACTAATGTACAATCGTCGCTTGCGCAACGGAAGGCTACACTCACGTACTTTGTAACGAAGATTAAGCGGCGTATATCTGATGCGATTGAAGCAAACATCAATTGCAGTAATTGATGAGGCACAATTATACTCGACTATTGTTTTTTGTTTTCGCTATGTTATCTGTTTACATCACAACTACATAGAATATAGTGTAAACTTATGTTCGACGAAATAATTATCTATTCTGACGACCTAAGGATCCTATCTACATATAAACACGAGATAAAATTTATTTACACGTGAAACTAGTTGTGAGGAATTTTGTGCCGAGGAATTTTATAATTCTTTATACAATATTTTGGTCTCATTTAAAATTTTAACTAAGTATTGATGTCCATTTGTGTCTACCAGAATTTGATCAATCTCGTTTTGCAATTTCTTTCAAATATCCTCGTTCATCGCAATCACGTGCGCGACAAAAACACATGAATGTTACGATGTTTTGGAAACCGGTACAGAAAAAGCTGAAGGCCTAACTAGTCATGTCCCTGATTGTTAGTCCCCTCTTACCATCTTTCTACTTTCCATCTTCAACTGCAACATGTCTGGCCGAATGATACCCTTCTTATCCTTAGTCTTAATGGTAATCCACGATTAGATCCTGAAAAAATTTGGTGACTTCAAATGAATTTGAGTATACATGCCCGCCATGGCAGGAATCTGAATGTGTATATTTTTAAAAAGGAGTCGTTAAAAGAGATTGCCTTTTACCGTATACATAGAAAAGATTTTTCGGGTCTCGCATGAAATCTGCGTTGTCGACGAAGACAAAGTCGTGATTACATCATTGATTTATCGTGTAAAGATGTCTTTCGGTTCTGTTATCCTCTACTCCGACGGCAGTTGCATTACGAACTATAGACGAATTTGGCGGCGTAGCCCGACATCAGTTTGAACATGTTCTTCATCTTGCTGGACGTGAAGGCCGGACTCCACATAGTTCATACCTTCAGGCATATGTCGCTGCAAAGGGAAAAGAGATTCTTACCAAACAATGACTCTTGTCCTCTGCGACGAAGCTGCGATGATGCGGCAACACGTCAAAGTGCTTGAATGCGGTGGATATGTTAAGCTCGGTGACACATTATCATTACACACCGATATATTTAGCCCCGGGATGAAAGTCGTAGATTTTCTTCACAAACTCTGCTAGAAACGTCTTACGCAAGATCGTCGATATTGCTCATGTTACTCATCCAGGCCCTCAGCTTTTTCTGTATCGGTTTCCAAAGCATCGTAACATTCATGTGTTTTTGCCGCGCACGTGATTGCGATGAACGAGGATATTTGAAAGAAATTGCAAAACGAGATTAATCAAATTCTGGTAGACACAAATGGACATCAATACTTAGTTAAAATTTTAAATCACTTGTATGGCATGCTTCTTGATTCAGAATTTTATAGGTAATAGTAGTATTTTTTCAGGTAATAGTAGAGATGCAAGGCGTCGGCTACCATCGACAAGATGATTACGTGTAACATATCGTTGAAATTTTTTCTCATTCAACTGAATTCAATACGTGCGATTCTAACGAAATTATAATTTTTTTGATCGACTAAAGGAGGAAAAAGTCAGTGTGGGAGCTAATACAAAATATAGATCTCTCCAGTGTTTTCACAGCAAACTTACTGAATTTAATGTTGTTAGTTCATGTACTGATTAGGTTCTTGGGTGCTCACATCGTTAATCTCTTTTTAAGCAGTATTATTATTTTATTCGTTTTATAATATATACAAAGTGTAAAGAATATTAATGTGCTCGACGAAGTGATGATGTCTCATAGGAAAACAAAACAAAAATACGATAAACGAAAATAAGATAAAATTTATCCACACAAACTTCGATTATTCGGAATCAATTTTTAGAAGAAAGTCGGCGGTTATCGATTTATTATTTTAGTTTTGTCCATATATTATACAAATCTCTCTCCCTTTTCTCTCCTTATGATCCTCTTTCTTCCACTCTTTCTCTCCTTTTCTGACATTTAATTACTTTGCGATGTATATACATTATAACATCATTTTTACGGAAATTACATCTTTTGGATGTTTTTTACACGGTTATTAAAAAAACATTGCAATATTATTATATATTGTTATGAGATTAGAGATATTGGCATGAGATAATTGGCATGAGATTAGAGATATAGATTAGAGACAGATTAAGAAAATAAGATATGAAAAAATTTCTTTCATAGATATAAGAGACATTATTTATGTGGTGTAAATTAGTGATGTAAATTAGTATTATCTTTCGAAAGATAATACTAATATACATCACTAATTTACCCAACATAAATATCGTCTCCTATACTTATAAAAGAAATTGTTTCATATCTTATTTTCCTAATCTATCTCTAATTTATATCTCTAATCTCATGCCAATTTTTTGTGCTCACAACTCATAATAAGAAAGTCAACAATCTTTTAATGTATAAAAGCACATAATGTTATCTTGGAATATGAACTCATAATTCCTAAATGACATATTGGATTAAGAATTATTTTTCCCTTCGTATCGATTATTTTCTATCGTTATATATTTAATATGGTTTTTTCTTATTACAATCTTTTATTAACATTTTCCGAATTCATAACATATAAACCCTCACGATTTATCAAATCAACAAAAACTCTACTACAGGTCACTTGTGCTATTTATGTTGTTAACTGCAACAGTGTGATGTGGCTCTTTCCTCGGCACAGCTTTCAGCCAGAAACCACCCACAGGCTTCATATTAAATTCTCCCTTAGCTAGCTTAAGCGGCATTGGTGGTGTCTTTTTGCAAGGTACCAGGTCGCAACGCGCCAGCAGATGGAACAGTAATACCTTCGTCTCCAATAGGGCGAATCGGTTACCGATGCACATCCTGGGACCCAAGCCGAAAGGTAAATAAGCTCCCGTGTTGAGAATGTGTTTCTTCTGCTCGCCGAGAAACCGTTCGGGATCAAACTTCTCCGGATCCTCGAAGTATTTCGGATCATGCTGGAGTGCGTGAATCGGTATCCACACGACATCGCCTTTCTTTACGGTGTAGGGCTTTGCGCCCGGTAACGTCGGCGGCAACTCAAAATTCTCTGTGCATGCTCTGTCCGTTAATATAGCAACGGGATACATTCTAAGAGCCTCATTTAATACTGAGTCCAAGTATTCCATACCGTTGATCGCCTCATATGGCGCTTGCCCGTTTGTGTCTTCCAGGACCTGATCGATTTCGTTTTGTAGTTTCTTTCGTACATCCTCGTTCACCGCGATCTCGTGTGCGGCAAAACACATCAACGTCGAGGTGCTTTCGAAACCGCCAAAGAAGAAAATGAAGGCCTGACTGGTCATGTCCCCGATCGTCAGTTCCCTCTTACCTTCTTTTTTATTTCTAGTTTCCATCATCAACTGCAACATATCCGGCCGAACGATATTGTTTTCGTCCCTGGTCTTGATGGTGGACTCCACAAGATCGTGAAAGAAGTTTACGATTTTCTCACTAATTAGCTTCAAATTGAGTATACGTGCCAACCACGGCAAGCTCCTGAATATTATAATTTTCATGAAGGAGGTAAAGTTGAAAGTAGTCGCCTCTCTGCCGTATACGTAAAAGAGATTCTTCGGATCTCGCATGGAATCTACTGTGATGCCGAAAGCACAAGTAGCAATCACATCGTTGGTATATCTTGTGAAGATGTCCTTTGTTTCTATCACTTTCTGCTCCGGCGGCAGTTGCATCACAAAATTAGCAAAATTGACGGCATAATCCGACATCAGCTTGAACATATTCTTCATTTTGCTTGATGTGAAGGCAGGACTCAACGTGGGCCGCATCTGTCGCCACCTGTCGCCGCAAAGGGCGAAAAGGTTCTTGCCGAACAACGGTTCTTGTTCTTCTGTAACAAAGACACGATGGTCCAGAAACATGTCGGCGTTCTTGAGGGCGATGGACTTGATGAGCTCGGTGTCGCGCAACATTATCAGCGGCGTATTGAAGTCATATAGACCGACGTACTTCGCCTCGGGATGTATATTATAAATCTTCTGTACTAATTTAGGTATAGATACTGTACGGAAGGTCGACGCTGCCATGTTGCCTAGGAATGGCAATGGCTTCAGATGTGGTATATCATATTTCTTGAATCGATTCAGATCCTTGAAGAGAAAATAATAGAGGCCTACGGCGCCAGCTATTACCGATAAAACTATCACGTACACCATATCGATAAGATTTTTCCACTAAACTGAGTTCTAATTGGTATGCCGCACTATGCAATTTCTGTTGGAATACTCGCGCTTACATCTGTTAGTTCGAACGATATTAGAATCTCTGTGGTGTATTGACGGCGAACCTACATAAGTAAATGAGTATTGTCGTATAACGTACTAATTAATCGCGAAAAAATATCATGTGGAGTATTTCAGTATAAGCGCACACTCCACGGTCGACTGCAACTGTGTAGGCCTATCTTTCTCATTTATAGTACAGATATGTAGTCGTCGCTTGCGCAACGGAAAACTTCGTGTACTTTGTAACGATGATAAAGCGTATCTCTGATACGATTGGAGTATGTATCAATTGCAGTAATTAATGAGGCACACAATTATACTCGTCTATTGTTTTTTTTTTTTTGCTATCTTATCTGTTTACATTACAACTAAATAGAAAGCAGTGTATACTAATTCCACGAAATAATTATTTATCCTTTCGACCTAAGAACTCTCTCTAGACATAAGCACGAGGCAAAATTTATTTACACCTGAAATCAGTTGTGAGTAAGCTCGTTCCGGGGAATATTTATAATTCTTTATATATTATTTTAGTAAATTAAAATTTTAATTAAGTATTAATGTCCATTTGTGTCTACCAGGATTTGATCAATCTAGTTTTGCAATTTTTTTCAAATATTCTCGTTCATCCCAATCACGTGCGCAGCAAAAACACATGAATGTTAAGATGCTTTGGAAAGCGGTAAAGAAAAAGCTGAAGGCCTAACTAGTCATGTCCCCGATTGTTAATCCCCTCTTATCACTTTTCTACTTACCATCTTTAACTACAACATGTCTGGCCGAATGATACTCTTCTCGTCCTTAGTCTTAATGGTAATCCTCCACTAGATCCAGAAAAAATTTGGTGACCTCGCAAATGAATTTGAGTATACATGCCAACTATGGCAGGAATCTGAATGTGTATATTTTCAAAAAGGAGCCGTTGAAAGGGATTGCTTTTTCACCATATACGTAGAAAAGATTTTTCGGGTCTCGTATAAAATCTGCGTTGTCGTCGAAGACGCAAGAAGCGATTACATTATTGAAGTAAAGATGTCTTTCGGTTCTATTATCCTCTACTTCGACGGCAGTTGCATCACGAATTAGATAAATTTGGCGGCGTAATCCGACATCAGTTTGAACATGTCCTTCATCCTGCTGAATGTGAAGGCCGGACTCAGCATAGTTCGCACCTTCAGGCATATGTCGCTGAAAAGGGAAAAGAGATTCTTACTAAACAATGACCTCTGCGACGAAGCTGCGATGATGCGAGAACACGTCAAAGTGCTTGAATGCGATGGATATGTTAAGCTCGGTGTCACACAGCATTATTGTTATACTGGTCTTTCGTACGCATCGATATACTTAGCTCCGATGATGGATGAATGTCGTAGATTTTATTCACAAGTTCTGCTAGAGACGTCTTACGCAAGGTCTTACGCAAGGTCGTCGATATTGCTCATGTTACCTACCCACGCACTAGCTTCAGATATGGTATGGTATGCTTCTTGATTCAGATTTTTCAGGTAATAGTAGAGATGCAAGGCGCCGGCTGTCATCGACAAGACGATTACGTGTAATATATCGTTGGCATTTTTTCTCACTCAACTGAATTCAACGAGTGATTCCAGCGAAATTATAATTTTTTTGATCGACTAAAGGAGGAAAAAGTCAGTGTAGGAGCTAATACAAGATGTAGATCTCTCCAGTGTTTTCACAGCAAACTTACTGAATTTAATGTTATTATTTTATGTACTGACTAGGGTTCTTGGGTGCTCATATCGTTACTCTCTTTTTAAGCAGTATTATTATTTTATTTGCTTTATAATATATACAAAGTGTAAAGAATATTAATGTGCTCGACGAAGTACGATGTCTCATAGGAAAACAAAACAAAAATACGATAAATGAAAATAAGATAAAATTTATTCACACAGACCCCGGTTATTCGGAATCAATTTTTAGGAGAAAGTCGGCGGTTGTCGATTTATTATTTCAGTTTTGTCTATACTTTATCCAAATCTCTCTCCCTTTTTCTCTTCTTATGATCCTCTTTCTTCCACTCTTTCTCTCCCTTTCTGACATTTAATTACTTTGCGATATATATATATATATATATATATATATATATATATATATATATATATATATATACACATTATAAGATCATTTTTACAGAAATTACATATGTATCTTTTGGATGCTTTTTACACGGTTATTAAAAAAACATTACTGTATTATTATTAGGACCTTAACTTAGTTTCCGCCCAAAAAATACTGAGAAAAAGCATTTATTGTAAAAAATTTATTTAAATTATTTCAATGAAAGTATTTT